GATTCAGGCTCTGCATTGTTTTACCGTTATGGTTGCCAAAATAACGCCAACACCGGAATTCTGGCTCGTTACCCTCACCATGGAACCGCATTGCCGCAATCAAGCCAGCACTGGCCCGCTTCCGGTTTTGGACCATTTAAACTGTACGGTACTGCCAGACCAAGCCCCATAACATAGTCCATGAGCCAGGGCCTGAAATTTCACATATTGGTACCATCTCAAGGGACTAATCGCCACTATGATTTTTTCTTTCCTACATGTGTATAGATGTCAGAAAAGTATGATAGACTTTTGTGGGTGGTAGTTTAATGTGGAATTTGGGGTATGTTCTATGACGTCACTAATAAAGGCTCAAATCCGATATTTTTTACAGCAAGCAATAACAAACAACTTTATTTTACTCCATAAAACACTTGCTTGATGTCCTCTACGGCATCCCAGCATTAAATGCTTTCAAAAGGTTACAATTGTTTCACCTGCATTTGGCTAAACTCTGTATTGAGGCCACCTGCCTAATGTGGCCAACATGTCATTGCATGTCAAAGCTTATAAAGGGGAATGCACAACATACTTTGTTCCTGTAATTTTCAGAAAAGGCTGTATTTGGGGGGTAAGTATAACAGTCAAGTACAGTATTTCATAGAAATTTGGTAGTTTTAGTTTTTGATGTTTGCAAATCTTGTATATATATTCCCTTTAAACGGCTCACTTTGCTTTTAAAACTGCACTCGAAGACTACTGACCCATGCGTGTTATTTTGATGGAGCGCATTGCAGGCCGCCGGGGCAGATATAAGCGGAGGCAGTTATTTTTTTTTTTTGGGGGGGGGGGCTGGTGAAGAAGGTTCATTTGAAATTAGCTTTTGAGTTGTCAATGGCTACATTCAACAGGTTGATGGTTGAGGTGAAAATGTATTAATTATAGTAAATAAGTCGAATGTGTAATCTTAAAAGAACATGTCCATTTTGGCGGGCAGAATTCTGAAGGCCATGGTTTTTTCATTGTACTATAATTGCCAGTTTTAATTTTCAACTATTAGATCATATGACAGAGATACCTAGAAATGGCTTACATCTCTGATATAAAAATAAGTGCACATGTATTTCCATAAAATTGCTGCACACAAAATGTGAGTTTTTATGGGAAAAAAATAAGTAATGTTTGGTCTTCCTGACAATTAAATATGATTTTGTTGCAACTGCTGGTATTTTCATACATTCATAAATGTAATAAATATAGTATATTTTGCAACCAGATGAAACTTTAGTTCTTTCTACATACTGCAATAGGCTTATCTGATTTAATGAACTACCAAAGCCTCCCAAATGAGCTTAATAATTACGAACATTTATTAACTTGAAAATTGTGCCTGTATATAACTTATGAAACTCCCTGACAATCATTCAAATTTACTCGAATTCAAAGTCAGAGTCTGTATTTGAGTTGTCATCAAGACAGGGGCACATCTGGTATAAGAAATATCAAGAGGAGGTATTTTTTTAAATCTTCAGGCAGTGCATAATTGATATTTCTCTCAAGGTATCCAAAATCATGACATGTCTATGATATTTTTATTCCATGTTGGAAGCTTTGACCCGAAAGCAATAACCTCAGCCATGACAATGGTGCATGGCAAAGTTGATTGTGCTTGCCAGGATTTTTTTCATTCGATCTTTCAATATGGCAAATGTTCATACCTTTCCCCTGAAGGTTTTTTTTCTTTTCAATTAGAAGTGTTATTGACGTTGCTAGCATTCTGTACTCCAGATTAACAAAGAGCAGGTTCTCCGTGACACATCCCCAACCCAAAATGAGTGGAAAGGGCTTTTATTGAAACTAGTCATGCTTAACGCCAATTCCAGTGTAGTTTCGTTTTAGTAAAAAAGCTATTCACGTTTTACCTCTGCAAGTTTGTTCTCATAAAATCTCAGGAGACCGATAAATCCTTTCCATAAAAAAAGATATAAATTATTACCCTCTGCTGCAACTTTTTCCTCATAAAATCTCAGTAGACCGATAAATCCTTGCATAGCCCCCCCCCCCACTTGCTGTCTACCGAGCATAAACATAAAGATGCATTTTGGTCTTTTAGTCTTTTATATTTGCCATTATCTGTAACAAACAAATAACACTGCAATAATATCGAGAGCTACATCGTTTGGTGAGATAGAACTAAAGCGGCCCCTGGCCCTGTGGCCCCATGCCGTCATAAAACAAAGCATACACGAAGGAATTTACTAAATGTAAGAAAGCAGCCTTGGAACATTAGTCCATGAGCCAGGGCCTAAAATTTCACAAATTGGTACCATCTCAAGGAACTACTCGCCACTATGATTTTTTCTTTCCTACATGTGTATAGATGTCAGAAAAGTATGATAGACTTTTGTAGGTGGTAGCTTAATGTGGATTTTGGGGTATGTTCTATGACGTCACTGAAGGAGGCTCAAATCCGATATTTTTACATCAAGCAATAACAAAAAAAAGTTTATTTTACTCCATAAAACACTTGCTTGATGTCCTCTACGGCATCCCAGCATTAAATGCTTTCAAAAGGTTACAATTATTTCACCTGCATTTGGCTAAACTCTGTATTCAGGCCACCTGCCTAATGTGGCCAACATGTCATTGCATATGTCATAAGCTTATAAAGAGGAATGCACAACATACTTTGTTCCTGTAATTTTCAGAAACGGCTGTATTTGGGGGGTAAGTATTTTATAGCAAACTTACACGCACTTGTAGTTTTGTGTTCATAGATGCTGGAAAACCCAAGAATCTATCATTTTCTTTTAGTCTGGTTCCCTGACCCCTCTTTAAATGAAACACAGCAATTTATAGAAGCCAGGGGATTGTATGGTCAGAAAAACAGTCTAGCTGGCTTGTACCCGTTCAAAGGTATGCAATCGATTACAAACAAAATGTCGACTAACTAAATATGGTAAATTGGGGGCAGTATTTGGAAACAGTTTTTTTCTGACCAGCATTGGAAATTGATACAAAAATACCACTTTTCTTGAAAATGACAGAAATCAGGTGCCATAAGTCTTACAGGGTATGCTTTTGACCGTGCTTCACTAACAGTCAAGTACAGTATTTCATAGAAATTTGGTAGTTTTATTTTTTGATGTTTGCAAATCTTGTATATATATTCCCTTTAAACGGCTCACTTTGCTTTTAAAACTGCACTCGAAGACTACTGACCCATGCGTGTTATTTTGAAGATGCGCATTGCAGGCCGCCAGGGCAGATATAAGCGGAGGCAGTTGTTTTTCTTTTTCTCTTTTTTTTGGGGGGGGGGGGGTTTGAGTTGTCAATGGCTACTTTCTACAGGTTGATGGTTGAGGTGAAAATGTATTAATTATTGTAAATAAGTCGATTGTGTAATCTTAAAAGAACATGTCCATTGTGGCGGGCAGAATTCTGAAGGCCATGGTTTTTTCCTCGTACTAAAATTGGCAGGTTTTATTTTCAACTATTAGATCATATGACAGAGATACCTACAAATGGCTCACATCTCTGATATTAAAATAAGTGCCCATGTAGGGGAAAGTGGGGCTACTGGACCACTTAAGCAATTTTTCAATTCTAACAATATAAAAGAAATCCAGGAAAGGGATAAAACTAGTTTTATTACATGACCAAACAACTTGCTTGTTTATTGCAAACAACTGAAATCGATCACATTAATTAATCTTATGAATATTAATTAATCAAAAAAAAATCCAAAAGTGGACCACTAGCCCCACTCTTTGGGCAAGTGGTCCGCATCATAAAACTTTAATATTTGTCATCAAAAGTGTAAAGAATGACTAATGCTACCAGTAAATTGATAATAAAACATTCAAATAAGCAACTGAAAATATCTTAGAAGCACAAATGAGTTCAATTAATTGTTTAAACACCATTTAAAGAGTTTCTAACTTTTTTCAGAAAAAAAAATCACGCAATTTTTATTCTTGGAATGCTGAGTTCAATACAGAGATGTTTGTCACGGGCATTTTATGTTCCTTAATCATACTTTGAAGTATTTTTTCAAGCGTATTGATGTATTTATCTCTACGAGCCTAATTTTATACATGCCCTTGCTTTTCGAGAGAATTTGTAAGCAACTTGAGTAATTGCAAACATATTTTTGGAAAGAGTTTCATACACGGTCAACACTTGACACTCTGTGCACTAACCATACACTGTAAACCATGTGTTTAGGTTTAGAACACCTAAATAAACACTAATCTGTGACAGTTTTTAAATTTGGAAACATATTTGGTGTTTAAAATCAGCACACTGACGGTGTTTAATCTTTAAACGGAACAGTGTTTAAAATATATACATCAAAGGCGTTTAACATTTAAATACTACTGACGTTTAAAAAGTAAACACACAGTCAAAAAGAAAACACGTCAATCTGTTGTAATTTTAAACATGTGACACGTTTATTGCCTGTGACAGATTTTAAACATGGGACGCCATTTATTATTATTTTCAAGTGTTTATATTCACAGTGTGTGTTTAGTTTTCGAACAGTATTCAAAATTGCAAGTAAAACTTCAGTCACAATATTAACAACATTGAAATAAACGCATTTAGGGCACTTCACAAAGCTGTCTTTATTTTCACCTTTAGGATTGTGGTGAAAGGCCTATTGAGTTTTATCGAATCATGAAAATGGACACAATAAAATACAAATGTATTTTATGGTCACCCCTAGAGAATATTTTACATCACGACAGCAAAAATAATGTGACATTTATGTGAATATACTACCATGCCTATCAGTATGTTTTCAACAATCCCTTTTTTAAGCCCGTAACATTAAGGCCAATTACATTTTTTTACAGGTATCAAAACAAAGAAACAAAAACATAAACAAACACAAAAGGGTGAATTTGAAGTAAATGAATATATCTGTAAATAGGTCTAAAACAATTATTTTCCAATTCAATGAGATTTAGAAGTAAAACTGCAAATGAATTATACTTGTTTTTTAAAACCTGTGAAGGTTTGCGTTATAGTTTGAAGTGGTAAAATAAGTATTGATCTTTAGCTGAGATTTCAACAATATATCCAATTAATTTATACACAAATACCTTGTAGTGAATTGCATGAATTCGCTGGAATCTGCCAGGAAAATTTTTCTCTGATTATGGTTTTTTGAAAAGAACTCAAAGCATGTGAAAATACTTTGGATAATCCAAATCAAAGGCATAGTACCCCAAGGCTGGAGAAGAAGCGCATCATTGTACGTGTTGTAGTTCGAGACTTTCTTGATGGTGTCTCCACGTGTAATGTAAACTGTAGTTTTGATGCAGATACTCTGTCTGGTTCAGCAGCATTCTGTGACATAAACAAGATTTCTGAGTGAGCCATACAAAAACCGATCAACTTTGAAAGTGAAACCATGCTCACAGTCAAAAGAAATAATGGAGACCCTAAAATGACATGTCATTAATAAAGTTTACTCCAGGAAGAATATGAAAAGTGGTTACAAAATTGGGTTCAAAAGTAAATTGCACAATTGTCGGCCTTTTTGGGACTCACGTCAATATTAACCTTTGTTATCAGAGATAATGTGCACAAAGACTGTAAAGTTACAGCTTGAGATTGATCATGGATCAAATATTAAAAATAAAATCTGAAGAAAATAGGCAAGCTATTCACAGTTTCGTACCAATAACTTTGCAGTCATGTAGGTATTTACGGAGACTTTGTATTTAAAATTGTATTTTAAAATTGTATTCACCTAGAATGCTTTACTTTTTCATTTCATGATGTTTTACCGCCAGAGTAAATTTCCAGTGGAAGTTGAAAGGTTCTTATGCAAGATAGAATCTCAGCCAACTATCATCATTCAAAATTACCTCATGAATAGCACTCTCCTCGTCTTCGTACCCTCGCCACGTTCAAACTCGGTGTTCTGCTGAACGTACATGTATGCAATTACATCGAGCGTCTACAGAGGACCCTATATTCAAAACATAACACGTTCTGTAAAACGAAATGGTTTTGAATCCCTGTGATATACTGCATTGTACTAAAAATTGGGGGATCATCTTTTATGTACAAGCACTGCGGGTTTTTCAAAAGTTTTATACACAGCTGATCTTTACGATCACACACTGCACTGCCAAATGACGATCAATGCCAAAGGACACTTACCGTGTTTTTAAGGTCAATAGCTTCTTTCATCTGCAAGGGAATAGACACACCCTGAAAATATACAGAAAGAAAATATTAAAACAATATACGCCCATAAATCATGTGAAATGGAAATTATGTTAAACAATTTGTACCTGACCTTACAAATACTAGAATTATCTTTTCAAAATCATTCATGCTGGTCCCTTTCAGCTTACATAACTTAGGCAGTGGTGATAACACTAGCATGCTTTTATTGAATAGTTAAATCACGATTTCAAAAAAAATCCACTTCACTGAATTTTCAAAGATTACAAAAATTTTGACACTGCGTGTTTGCAATTGTAATTCGCCCCATAGGCTTATAGCCTCATATTAAGTAAACACTCAACATAGACCACCCTATAATGTGGGTCAAATACAGAACTTCCTTCATAATATTGTGAGCTGCACAGCAGTTATACTGTATAACAACAGCGTCATCCAAGAAAAATAATATGAGGAAATCAAAATCAGGGTTGTTTTTTCCCCTTCATATTCATGTTTTATCACACGATCCTTTGGCCACTAATTGCTCCCACTAATTCGTCTCCTCTCATATTTCAAAATCTATAATATTGTATATCGGGATTAATTAAATCAAACAACACAAAAGACAAAACTTACCACCTGTGTGGAAGCTTCCAGAACTGGTTCAAACTACAACCGTCGTACTGCATGCACAGAATACGTTGCATCTGAGTACTCTTGCTGACTTGGCAATATGCATACCAAACTTGACCTCTAGCCTAGGTCATGACCAACTGTTAGTACCTTCTGTGAGACTACATCATACATGTATATTGTTTCATTACCCGATGCAAATTTTGTTACAACGAATGACGATACTAATTCTCGCCATTACATTATTCTATTAGTGTGCCCAGATTATTGTCAGAAAAATGGCGGTTGTCTTTCGGTGCCGCGTAATCATTTAACTGGCCTGATTATGCCAGCACGCAATCAGATTTAATCCTATTGGTTAAGACCTAACATCACGTGGTCATATTTAAACATCGTGACGTGTACCGTGTTTATTAGGTGTTGAACACAAACAACTAAATTGAGTTATTATTAGTGTCCTAATTAGTTAATAAGCCTTTTTTAAACAAAGTGTTATTCTTTTGGAATAAACAAAATGCTAACTAGTGAAATTGAACAGTTAAAACGTTTTCTAAAACCGATCTCACAATAAACACCCTATAGCACTGTTGACATTAACGCTAACTGTTTTGTTTAAAAACACATGATGTGTTTAATTTTGTCACATAGTGTTTTAATCTAAAACACTGCGTTTATTTTTTAAACGTGTCACATTTTCTCGCGTTTTACAGTGTATGAGACTGCTCTGAAAAATTCAGTGTTTCCTATTAGAGTAAATGCTTCGACTTTCTCACTGCTTAATTTAACTTTTTAGGGCATGTCTTTGCTTTTCATGGCTTGTAGGTTACTATCTAAAACTAAGTGTTGTCCGTATATGGAACTCTTCCCATTTTTTTCTGCTTACAAGCTAACGATCATTTTAAACACTTGTAAATGGAACACAAACGCCGACAATTTCTATTTTAAATGTGCAATTGGGAGGGCTAAATCATGTACAATGTACTGTATAAGACTAATATACTTTAAACATCATCCAAATGTTGCAGTATACACAGTGCATGTACTCTACTTTAATTAATCGGATCCTCCAAACTATATAGGCCACTACAGTCAGTGCACACGAACAAGTTCATATCGCCTCGCCATCTGGTACAGTCCTCATGGAACCACTCGCTGCACCCTCTACATGAAACCCGAGGCTCATCGGCCATCCAAGGCGCATTACACTTGGCACAGAACGTATCATCATCCACTAGTTCCATTATCTCATTGTCACTGTCCGAGTCACCAGCTGAGATTGTAGGTGGGCAGCTAATATCTGGGCGTGGTTTGTTGGCGATTGCTTTGGATTTTTCCCCCTCCTGTCTTTGTTGTTTCTTTTGCTCTCGCGCATTTTTCTTTTCTTCTGTCATCTTCTTCTTTTCAGCTGCTTTTGTTTCCCGTTCTCTTTTTGGCTGAGGGCTCGTCAATGCCCGTCAAGTACTCGCTGGTGTTGGATTTGGCTGAGATCTCGTCGATGCCCGTGAAGTACTCGCTGGTGTTGGGTTTGGCTGACGGCTTGTCGATGCCCGTGAAGTACTCGCTGGTGTTGGGTTTGGCTGACGGCTCGTCGATGCCCGTGAAGTACTCGCTGGTGTTGGGTTTGGCTGACGGCTCGTCGATGCCCGTGAAGTACTCGCTGGTATTGGGTTTGGCTGACGGCTCGTCGATGCCCGTGAAGTACTCGCTGGTGTTTGGTTAGGCTGACGTCTCGTCGATGCCCGTGAAGTACTCGCTGGTGTTGGGTTTGGCTGACGGCTCGTCGATGCCCGTGAAGTACTCGCTGGTGTTGGGTTTGGCTGGCGGCTCGTCGATGCCCGTGAAGTACTCGCTGGTGTTGGGTTTGGCTGACGGCTCGTCGATGCCTGTGAAGTACTCGCTGGTGTTAGGTTTGGCTGACGGCTCGTCGATGCCTGTGATGTACTAGGGATATCTTGTGGTGGTGGTCTCGGTACTGTATCTGTTTCTTTCTCCATTCCTGCCTCTGTTCCTGCCTCTGCTTCTGCCTCTGCTTCTGCCTCTGCTTCTACCTCTGCTTCTACGTCTGCTTCTTCATCTGCCAACTCCCATGCCTTTGAAGGTGCAAATGCCTCTTTCGGGACAGCTGCAGGGTTAAATGGGTAGATCTCTGTTGCCCGAAAACCAATAACTGCATTGGCAATGGTGGCTGATTTACACGGCCGTTTCACTCACATAGACATAACGTAAATAAAGTTGAGCGATTTTGTCCGTACCAGTCAGTGCGCAGGGTTCGGAAAAGTGCTTGCGTTTATTTGCAGCGTATGCATAACTCGCTTGGTAAAATGAATATTCATGATATCGGGGGACCACATTTGAAAATTCATTTTTTTGATAACTAGTCTTTAAAAGAAAGTTTTTACTCACAAATATAGTAAAGAATACTCAAGCCTAATTGTGAAATGAGATTTCTAAAATTTTCATAAAGTATTTTAAGAATTTAAGAAATATGAGGATGAAAGTTTTACTGAAATTGTCGAGAAATTTCGGTTTGCGAAAACCGTCTTTGTTCTATATAAAACAAAACCGTGCAGCATCATTTTACAGTTTGATGAGAAGCTTTGTTATTAAATGCACAAATTATCATAACCATGAATCATGTAAGTACTCAAAACAGTCAGGAGCACGCGAAATTTACGGCCATTCTGAACGTTCAGGATACGAAAAAAATTACACTCTGGAAGCACGTGTAAGCGCCGCACAGCATGAGTGTACATTCCTCATTGGGCAAGACCCGCAACCAACACGCGTTTTGACCAATCACGTAACAGCACACGAGGCTTCCGTATGTCGGGTACCCTCGTTCTATGCGTGCTTATGGATATCTTATAATCTCGAACTAAATGTGCCCGACTATAGAATATAAACTGGCGATGTGTCCTCTCCCAAAGTTTCAACGACTAGCTGCGCAAGAAAATAATATACTTTCAATGCTATTCCTATTTCTAGACCGTTATGATTTAAGATTAATGTAATAATTCCATTATTTTTTGGCAATAATGTCTCCCATTTTCTAGATGCTTTTTGTTTGTTGACAGTTTCAATGTGCATGAACATGACAAATATAAACACAAAAACCAATGTGTATGACTATATGAACATGAAAATATAAACACAAATAATCAAAGGCATGTCTCTTTTCATGACTGAAATTCTGGAAAACGATTTAATCATAAAATCAGAAGTGCAAAGTTACATACTTTTGAGCTGGATTTAATCATTACATCAGTGAGTTAACATATTACTAAAACCCTGGAAACTTGAACCACTTACACTTACAAAACATTGCTTACAAAAGAAAGTTTCTAAAAACAGAGAATGACTTAGGCCCTAATTATAAATATAAAGCAACTTTAAAAAAATGAACTTAAAAATACATGCAAGCCAAACTTTCTTCAAAGTGCGAGGTTAATAATGCTCGCTCTAGGATGTACATGTATACACTTTCTTGCTATATTTCATGAGCTTATAATATAAATTCCCTACCCAAGCTTGCCCACAAGCAACTCAACCTAGGACAATAACAAGGCCATTGAACTGCTCCATTCCTTGACAATAAAAGTTAAATATGCAAACAATTACACAAATCTTTAAAATCTTTACAATCTTTGTTTAGAATGCAGTGTATAGCTGTTTGCAGACATTTTCATCATATTTTTGTTTTTTAAATATACAGCACACTCACAAAATGACTTAATTGAAAAAGAAAGAAAGTGGAAATTCAGCAATGATTGAATTGATTCTTCAGGGTTCTTTTTATACATGATCTGAATACAGCATGCCATGAAAATCCTTGACGCCTGATATGTGGGTTGTTGACAACACGTCTTTGAATTTAGGCATGCAAAAAATAAGGATTTCGGTCTAGTGGTGTGTCCGGTCAGAATGACCAGGCCAAACCATCCCAAAACATTATTTTGTAAACCGGAATCCGAACGGAAACCAATTTGAACTCCCTAAAACCAACCTGATCCGACCCGACAAAAGTTTAAGGAAAACCAACGGAAAAAATGTTACAACCTGACGCCACTTCCATGATTGTGTACAAAGTCAATGTAGAGTCAAGACAATTTTAAGTATTATCTAACAACATTGGAAATTTATGAAAAAAAAAGTGGCCTCAGGTTGCAACATTTCTTCCGTGTGAATTTCCAAACTGTTTGGGTTTATTTCGAGTTGAACATGTCTCAACACAATTAGAAGACTTCAAACGCAATACCGAAACCAACCTGGCCCGACTAAAATGATGGAAAAACTTATGGCGACCTAACAGAAAGTCAGCTTAAGCAAGTTTGGTCGGTTTCTGGTCGGATTTGAACAATACTTATCCGGTCGCAGCATTAAGTTTCATTTCATGGTAAATAAAGTTCCATTGAAATAGTTGCGAACTGTCTGCAAGTTCAGGTGTTGTGTTCAACTAGTCTTGACAGGGAAAAGGGTCGATCACTCTGCGTACTTGGCCTGTAAGAAAACAGAAAGAGAGAAAACAAATCTAAGTAATTATCTACATGTATTTTTTTGCTGATTTAGGAAGGAATTGTTTCGACTACTTAAAAAAATCCCATCCCCACCGCAAGATCTGAAAAAATTACCAGAAAAGAATTGTTCTTCATATTTTATGACTGACATGAATTGACCGACAAGGACAATCTTGAGTGATGCCTGTTTAATTTCATGAATTAAAAAAAAATTCTGATTTTTAATCGTATAGTATAAACATTGTTCGTACTTGCGACATGCAAAACTAACGGGTAGGAACCTATTGTCGACAAAATGGTCGACATCGGTGGTAATGCACCCACAAATACGCACACAGTACACACAACCCGTGCACAAAATACATGTATGACGTCATTCGAATCGCACATTGCGACTGCAATCATGCAATTTTCGCAAATATTTCGTATCAAATTAAAAATTGGCGGTAGAACCTGCAGAGATGGAAATGGTATGGTTCGAAAGCGTAACTCTTCAACTTACCAGAAAGTGACGAATTTTGTCCCCAAATGTCCCAAAACAGTCAGGAGCACCAAAAAAGTACAGGCATCGTCGAAAAAGTTCGAGAATCACCTCTCATTTCACATCGCTTATTTATAACTTTAAGCTTGTAATAATCAGCAAAAAATGGTATCAATCGACGCAAAAATTATCGTAGTTTCAGAATCCCCTCCATTTTTAGTCATCTACTGCTACGAAACGGGTTTCCTGTCCTTTTATCCAGGGGCACCACCGAACACTCGCAAAACCTCGTGCAATCTCGAACGGTCCGAGACCGTCCACGCGCTGCAAATAAAATCTCGCTGTGTGGCTCATTATCGAGTAGGCTGCGCACTGACTGGTACAGCGTTTCTTAACTCCAGTGCCGCAAAGTGATGACTTCATGCAATTTTGGAAATCCAAGATGGCGTCCGAAAATTTCACGAAATCAAAACACGAAAAACATGCTCCAAATTTGCCTCGAAATCATGACTTACACAATGAATTATGGTGCCATACAGTAATTCTGATAGATAACTATAGTTTACACATTTCGGGAGATCGAGCTGGCCCACAAACTTCAGAATATCTGTAAAAATTGGGTTTAATTACGCTTCGGGCGTCAAGTTTTATGTCGCTGTTCGTTTAGGAAAGTTGTTAAAAATCCCCGAGGAAAATCCCATTTTATTATTGATACGAGGTTTTCCCCAAGTATTCCTTGGTCACTTCTTGTGAATCATGACCAAGTTAAACGACTCATGAAATTTCATCCAAAGGACAGCGGTAGATTTTTTTTAGAACTGATCAAATACACATGTACTCCCACTTTTCACAGACCACCGCACGGTACACACACATATCACACGGCGCAATAGCTGTAGAACGTGAACACACCGCCGGGGCACGCGCGGCGTTGACACGGCGTTGTCGCCCTGCCCTACCCGCTGAGCTTTAGCGCAGCGAAGCCGTGCGCTGAAGCTCACAGGCCGGCGGTTTGTTGGAGAAATTCAGCAGAACTCTGGCCAGGTCAAGCATGTAAAGAATACAAATAGTTTCGTATGAACACCAATATTATTAAGCATGAGCTTTCTACATCAGACTCCTGTTGGTCAGACCTTCTGAAGTTAATTAGTGTTCCACGTTTGCTTGGAATGGTTTTAACATTGCATGAAAGAAACAATATCCTTCCCCTATTTGCACAGCGTCAGTCTATATCCATGAACTAAAACCACTACTGGTGCAACACTTAACACTTCAAACATTTTTCATTAATTGAAAAACTCGAGCAAATGCAGTCCTGCATGTCCACAAGCGTACATCCCAAACCAACTTAATCCAATCACCGAAACCTCCCGTCCAGTAGGCTTGTGCTTCGGGTCGGGTTAATCAGGCCAAACCGACGGAAACATTATAGATATAATCCAAATCCTGCATTGTGTGAATTTCCAAACTGTATCCGTCTTTTTTCGGTTTATTTCGGATTTTTAATTTATCTGACCCGACCCGACCCATCGCGACCCAACCTGAAAATTGCAAACATAAAACTGACCAACCCGACTGAAATGATGGACAAACCGAGCCGGCCAGACACGAAGTCGGTTTTTGGTCGGGTCGGTTACGGTTTCGAGTCGGTCTGCACAATACTTCTGTCCAGAACCTATCCAAGAAGCAAAAGTAACCAGCAAGGTTGCTGAAATCTATGGCCATCACACAGCACATAGAGGTTGCTGCATTCCCCCAGAGATAGTAGAGGCTGCTGCCTGCAGTCACTGAATGTGGCACAAGCAGAGGCAGACTCCAATATTAGATTAAACAACTGGCAGGGTAATATTCATGTTTTACTTTATTTCATTATTTATGTTGGCTGCCCATTTCGTGAAATCCACTGTCTCCCATTTGTCCCAGTATACCTGAAAAAGACAATCAACATTCACATACACGTAAGAGTCTCATCGTTTTAAAGTATGGAAAAGTAGGCCTACTTACTTTTTATTAGAAGCGTAATTACTCACTTTAAAAAAACAACACTGATAAAACTATTTAATTAAAGAGAATTTTAGTAGTGTCAACAATTAGTTGATTTTCAGTAAAATTAATGTGCAGTTGTATTTTAATTCACAATTTTGGCACTTAGGAGTGTAAACTAGCTCGCAGTAGTCCTGGAGGAATTCCTACCGGTGTATGCACATTAGCCTAGGTCACAATCACAATGATAATGTAAGCACGGATCCAGCCCATTGCAAAATGGCAACAAGGTTGTCCCTAATAATGCAGTTTCAGTAGAGACACGGCCATTTTGCCTACTGGTTATGGTTCATGTATTGAGTCAGTTTTGTGATAGCCATGTATTCAACTGCCATCCATGCACGAGAACGTAAATATCATTTTCAAAAATAACAAAATGACACCGCACATGTGCAGAGAGGTGATCCAATCAATGGCCATAAATGTGCATTAACATGTAAACCTGTCGGATATTATGGGAGCGAGAACCAGTCCATCGCCTGTGATCATGTGTGACGTGTGAATCCCAAGCCTCAATTCCAGAGTGATTCCTTGGCAAGCAGAGTAGCAGACAATACTTGGAAGTTCTGAATGTATCATGTATGCACAGTGTCGGATCAAGGCTGTGCAGGAGAGGGCATTTTTTTGCTCAAGTCTAGCAGTGCACATGGCATCTCACAGTTTTGCACACATTCAGTTACGAAAAATACACCCAACACATGCTCATGTCTGTGTAATTCTGATCCTCCATGCACAAATGTTGGATGAAATGTTCACTTCCACTGTACGGCTCATCACGACTAGTCAACGGCTCATCACACCACCATCTCACCAGAGCTCCAGAAGACACAAGAACCCTCTTCTCCCAGGAGAATGATACTGCAAACTTCCTGGAAAATCATAACAAAATGTTTTTTTTTCTTCAGAAAACAGGATCACATGTTCAATTTTGTTATTACGGGGTGGGGGTGGGGCATATTGCATGGGAGAAATGTAGCCATACATTCCAAGCTCTACATGTTATACTAAAGCAGTGGTGCATGTATGTACATGATGTATCATGCATGTCATGACAACAATAAACAATATTCATATAACTTGTATTTATATTATTTATTTATGGGGGGGGGGGGTGCACAGGTAGGCCTGTGCAAAGTCTTGGCTGAACATTTTTGGAAGCTTTGTGATCCATGGAACAGGAACACACAGAAACAAAACACCTTCATTTAAAAATTGCCCATTTACATGTCCCTGCTGAAGCTGAGGTAATGTGTTAAATGTAAATTAAAATGAAATGAATTTGGC